GACACAGATGGTTAGGGATCAGAACTGAGCAATATGGTAGAGGCTAAGTGGAAACTTGAGGTCAGACAGACTGGTGGCAAAATAACTACTTGATGGTAAGTTCCAACATGTAGGGAGGGCCTATTTCAAACCTTCCTATCTTAGGACAGGTGTAGTAGCCTGCAGGTGAAGGAGAATTACCACAACTATGCTGGGAGGAGGGAACCAGAAGGTGGGATCCAGGCAGGGTTCAAGCAGCTGCAGCTGAAGCTGTGCACTAGGCATCTTGACACTATTCTCACAAGTTCTTAGATTCACCCTTAACTTCTTGCCTTCATTTTTTGCCCATAACCTTTTAAGATCTGAGCTTAACAGAAGTTAACAAGTGTGTAACCACATTGATCTCTTTACACACCTCCCGCTTTTTCTTCTCCTTAATTGTCAGAATTTCACCACCGGAAAACCTTCCCCTCCTCTCTCTACTCCAAGGGGTCTGTGCCCTCCCCAGTTTGAGAGCACCCTATCATTCTTCCTGGACACTCTGGGGGCCCTCAGAGGTAACCCACCTTTATCCTGCCTTTGGCCTCCGCGGACCTGCAAGTTAGGTGGAGAGAAAGGGCTGGGAAGAAGGCTGGCAGGGACCCATCACTTCTGGGAAGCAACAAGGGTACTGTGGGAGTCCTGTTGAGTGAAGCTGACAGAGTCATCAGTGCCCCCATCTATAAATACCCCTCAAAATACCCTTTCCCACCGGAGTATTTTGCTCCAGGGGCTTGATTAGATGGCAATGTCTTCCCTCCCCTGATCCTAATTTCTTGTGTCATCTACAGCAAGAGAACAAGAGCTTCTTCTGAACACTAGTGTGCTACCTCTTCTCTTTTGTGTTCAGTGGGTACTGTGTGGGTAAGTTACTGTTATGTTGTGCTCCTGGGATAAATGGACCTTTGTGAGACATTTTTCACCTGGATCACACTGGGGGAGGGAGAGGGGTCTTGCCTGAGTGACTTCTCACAGAAAGCTTCAGAGGTGCTTATCCCTGATAGCCTAGGCATGGCAGGCTGCTCTTTCATTGGCACTTGGGAGTGTCAATCACTGCAGCCATGCCAATCAGCTCTGAACCAGGTGTCTGTAAGTGATTAGCCTTCTTTGTTAAACAAAACACTGAACCCTCCAAGGACTGAACAAAGAATGGCTCTAGAAAGAAAACAGTTGCTACGTGGGCAGGAGCAATCATGCCAGTGCCACTAACTTAAACCCTTTGGTTTCATCCTCTTTCTTCAGGCCCTGTCCCTAGTTTATTCCTTCCATTTAGATTTGTCCTAGATCCTTTCAGTTTTACCTCTGTTATATCCCTCCCTTCTCCCTACCAGAATGCTGCATTCTTTGTTCAGGCCTTAACACCTTTCACCTGGACTACTAACCAGTCTCCCAACCAGTTACCCTGCCTCAAGTCTCCTCCCAACCACCACTCCAATCAGCCTCCATCCTGCAGCCAAATGAATCTTCTAAAAATATAAATCTGCTGAAAATCTTTCAACCTCTTCTGTGGCTTTTAGTACCCTTGGGATAAAGTCCGAACTACTTAGTATGGCACCCAAGGCCTTTCGTGATTTGGTTCCTGCCAAATCCTCAGCCTCATTTTTGGAAGTGCTCCCATTTTACACCTAGTCACAATGAACTACTTTGCGGGTTTCTGAACATGCCATTTTTGGCTTTGCTTCTGGGCCTTAACACATGACATTCTGTCTTCCTGGGACATCCTTCACACAGTACCTTCTCTCCTGTCTGTCCAATTCTTACTCATCCCTTAAGACCAGCTAAATTCCTTCAGCACCAGACATGTATTTTTCTCATTTCTTTATCTTGGATGCCTAGTACAGGGTCTGTAACATAACAGATCCTCAATACACATTTGCTGAATGAATAAATGAACAAATGGCCCCCAGCTCAAATGGCTCTGTGCAAAATAATCTCTGAGGGAAGCTGACAGAGTCTTTAGTGCCCCCATCTATAAGAGGGAGCCCTCTCCTCCCTCCCATTTATATTATTCTTATTCCACCAGGATGCAATGCCTCCTTTAAAATGTTTGCCTCCTTAATTCACCTGTGAGCATGTTGAGCGAGGCAGGGTTATGTCTGATCCATCTGAGTCTCCTAGTCCCCAGCATAGTGCTTGAAGAATAATGAATGAACAGGATTCCTAAATGCCTGACATTTTTGTTCCTTGTCTCATATCCATCTACTCCCTTTCCCATGAATTCTCACCACCTATACAGCCAAACTGTCACACTCGTGGCTTCACCACTATTCAAGGCTCCTTCTCATCCCTGAAAATTTTCACTTGCATTCCTCTCATCTGCATTGCCCTTCCCAGCCACCCACCCAAATTCTGCTACTTCTTTAGGAAGCAGTTTAAACTCTCCCTCTTCCAGAATCTCTCCCCTGCTACCATCCCAGCACACCCTGGCCAACCTCTTAGTAGTGCCAATGATTCCCATCTATCTTATTTAGCCCCTGGCATCCCCTCATGTTACTCATGTCAGGGGAAAACCAAGACTCAGAGACAGAAAGGACTCTCTCAAGGACACAAGACATGTTCAGTGGTAGAACTATTTATTACCTGAACCCAAGTCTCCAGTCCATAAATCCTCCTGCTAGCCAACATATACATCCTGTTTCCTCATGTACACTATAATTTTCTATAAGGCAGGAAGGACTGTGTCTTCCATGCATTCACTTTCCAGGGCTTTACTGGAGTGTTAAGAGAGCTCAGGGCCTTGACTGCTGTGGCTCAGTGAGTTGAGCACTGGCTTAGGAACTGAAAGGTTGCTGGTTCAATTCCCCTTCGGGCATGGACTGTGGGCCAGGTCCGCACATGGGGGTAGGTTGGGGGCGAGCTAGAGGCTTAACATGCAGCTCGATATTTCACTCACTCTTTTTCTCGCTGCCTTCTCCTCTATTTAAAATAAATAAATAAATAAATAGTAAAAATCTTGGCTTTCACTGGTTACTAGCTGTGTGACCTTAGGCATCTTAACCACTCTAAACCTCAGCTTCCTCATTTGTAAATAAAGACAACAGTAGTACCTGCTTCATAAGACTGTTTTGAAGATTAAATGAAGCCATGCTTGTAAAGTGCCTAGAGCAGTAACTGAACACCTAGAATACATTCAATGGAGAGTTTTTTATTGTTATTTTTAATATTAACAAATCCTTAAGGTAATGGTTGATTAAAAATTACAATCTGGGAGTGGGACGGGGTGAGTAAAGGAAGTGGACAACCGAGACACTCAGAAATTTGGTGGAATCCAAACAAGGTTAGTGGCATGGCAGGACTTTTGTTCGAGTTCCTAGTGCCATGTAATTGTGTGAGGGCCCCAAGCACATGGCTCCATTTGGGCGGTGCGGCTTCCCTAACTCTTGCTCATCTACCCTCATCAGCCCTATAGGGGGAGCCAGGAAGCTAGAACCGGGAAGAGGCTGCTGAAATCTTACTAAGGGCAGAAACGACACCCCATCACTACTAAATATCTTAGCCCACTGTCTTGCCCCCTCCAGGACGCTCTCCAAACTGTGTCTTGCATAGCTGCTAAGCTGGGAGCTGTCCTTCAGCACCAGGGGCCCGCCTTGGCCTTGGGCAGGATGGTGATGGTGAAGGCGAAAGCGGAGTTAGGGACACGAGACTGGTTCGATCCGCAGCCGCAGCCGGCTCTAGCGTCGCCTAGTCATGAGGATGGGGAGGCGACCCAGGGAGGCAGCGAGACATTATGGAGATGCCTTCTGCTTCCAAGAATTACCCTCCGAAAGACCCTAGCCCTCCTGGGGAGTGAGCGGCTGCCCAGGACAAGCAGGCGGGCTCCCGGGTTGTCGGGGGAGGAGGAGCGCCAGGGCCTGGGACTCAGTGTGTGGCGTGTGCAAGCAGGGAGCGGGCGGACGAACGGAGGCGCTGAAGTGAATGGAGTTGGGGGTGGACTGGAAACATCCCCAAACAACACAGGCTGCGGTCGGCGGGGGCTGGGGTGGGGGGGGGGGGTAAGGAGTCCTGAGGCGCAGGCGCAGTCGGGGCCCCAGTCCCGCTCCCTCCTCCTCTTCGTGCCTCTTTCTCCGCCCCACTCCCCCCAAACACACTCGCACACGGGCTCTCAAGGTGTTCTCCGCACAGCGGAAGATGGCGACAGACTGAGGGGGCATGGCCAGCGAACCATGGGGCTGTGCCGCTCGGCAGCCGCCACGGCGGTGCGGATGAGAGGTGGAAAGGAGAAGCGCACTAAGTAAAGCCCTGCGTCCGCGTCCGGTGCCTGTGGCGCTGCTGGGAGCCAGGTGGCCCGCGCGAGCCGGAACTCCGTGAGCAGCAGGCAAGCTGCCGGAGCGCAGCCGGCCCGGGACCGGCCCGAGGAACAGCGAGAGCGCGAGCAAAGCCCGAAGGGCTGGGCAGCCGATAGGCAGGCGGGCCTAGGAGGGCGCGAGTGAGGCAGGGAGCGGCGCGGAGCTGGCAGCTGGCGGACGGGCAGCTGGCGGACGGGCAGGAGCAGTGTGGGGCTAGCAAGCGGAGTAGAGCGCGGTGGCCGGGCCCGCACGGCGGCGCTGAGGGGCGCAGACCTGCGCTGAGCGGAGCCGGTCAGAACGGAGTGTGAGGAGGGTAGCCGCCGGTGCAGAGTGGAGTGTCTCGGAGCAGAGAGCAGCTGAGGGGCCCGACACTATGAGGAGCGGGGCGCTGCCACCGCAGCCGCCACCGCCCCAGTGCCCCGCACCGCCTTCCACCGGGATGCCGGACAGCGCCTAGCCACGCCTGGACTGCAAGCCAAGGAACGAGGGAGGGGCGCGAGGACGGCACGAGAGCGCCCCACAACTCCGGCCTGAGTGGGGTCCCCGGGCCGTCTGGCCTGCCTCACCATGCAGCCCCCAAGGTAGAGCCTGGACGGCGCCGAGGAGCGCGGAGCGGCGCGCAGCCCGCTCGCCCACCGGAGACTGCCGTCCCGCCTCGCGCCTGTCTGCTCCCGCCAGCCCGAACCCCCCTGAAATATGTTCAGGGGCGCTTGGATGTGGCCCGGGAAAGACGCTGCTGCGCTGACTATCTGCTGCTGCTGCTGCTGCTGGGCTCCCAGGCCGAGCGACAAACCTTGCGCCGACTCCGAGCGGGCGCAGCGATGGCGACTGTCCCTGGCGTCCCTGCTCTTCTTCACTGTACTGCTCGCTGACCATCTGTGGCTGTGCGCGGGGGCCCGGCCCCGGGCCAGGGAGCTGAGCAGCACCATGCGGCCGCCCTGGGGGACCGACCGTGAGCGGCAGCCGGTGCCTCCTCCTGCGGTGCTGCCACTGCCACCACCGCCACCCAGTGATCCCAACGTGTCCCCGGGCACCTGCGGTCCCCGGTACAGCAACCTGACCAAAGCCGCCCCCGCTGCCGCCGGTCCCAGGCGGGACTGCGGTGGCTTCCCAGAGCCCACGGGGCTGGACGCAGCTTGCACCAAATTGCAATCTTTGCAGAGACTTTTCGAACCGACTACCCCAGCACCCCCTCTGTGGCCCCTTGACTCTCCTTCTCGTGCCCCGGCTGAGTTCTCCTCCGCCAAAAAAAACTTGCTCAAAGGCCACTTTCGGAACTTCACTCTCTCCTTTTGCGACACCTACACGGTCTGGGACTTGCTGCTGGGCATGGACCGCCCCGACAGCCTGGACTGCAGCCTGGATACCCTCCTGGGGGACCTGCTGGCCGTGGTGGCCAGTCCGGGCTCCGGGGCCTGGGAGGTGTGTAGCAACTGTATCGAGGCGTACCAGCGGCTCGACCGACATGCTCAGGAAAAATATGACGAGTTCGACCTCGTGCTGCATAAATACTTACAGGCGGAAGAGTATTCAATCCGATCCTGCACGAAAGGCTGTAAGGTAGGTTCTGGCATCCGCAGCCACGTGGCGGGAGCGGTGGCAGTGGGACTGGGAAAAAAGGAGGTCTCGCTCTCTGGCCACCACACCTCTTCCTCTCTCCCTCACTGTTCCTGGTGCTGCACTATAAGTGCTACTTTGGTACCTGCCCCAGAGAAGGGGCCTCAGGGATTCAGGTCAGGTCACTGCCTGTCCAACTTCCATTAATTCCGGGGTTGGGAATGGTCTGACTGGGGCTTCCTGGTGCCCCGCCCCACCTGAGTAGGGAGGGGTCATGGGTCCTGGGCTGGCAAAGGTGTAAAAAGAGGGATCTGGCCCTCCCAGCCTCCATCTTCAGCCAGCGGTGCCCTCTTGGGCTGGAACTCAAAGTCTTGGAACTGGCTGGCGCAGGGGGAACGCCAAAGGTGGAAGGAAGAATATTGGCAGCCTAGCCTTCGCCCTTTGGTCCTTGTGAATGAATGGGCTGGAGGAGGGGCACCCTGCTGGTGGGGAACACCACGGTGTTGACCTTATATGACCTGAGGTGGTGGGTCAGAGACCAGGCAGGTGGAGCCCAGGGGTGCCTGCTTGTCTTCTCCCAAGGAGAAGCTGCTTGCCAGCTCCTCTTCCCATGACAAAAGAAGGAGCTGGGAACAGACCACAGCAACTTGTGGGAGGGCCAATGAAGACTGGTGCATTACCCAACTCCCAGTGCCTTCCCAGCACCCAGGGGTGGCAGTGGGAGGACAGCTGGCTTTCTGGCTGCTGGAAACAGGAATCCAGAAGAGAGACAAGGCCGCTGCAGAATGGGCCTGCTTATAGCAGGGCTCAGTTGAGAAACTTCTTGACCCTCAGGAGGGTCGCTGCGGACAGTAGGTATATAGGGGCTGTAAACATTTGGGACAAGGTGCTTCTGCCCTGTTGGCTCAGTCTGGCCAGGTGGCCTGGCTTTGGGAGGAAAGAGAACAGCAAGGTCAAAGGGTCAAGTGACAACGAGATGGGGTAGGGTGGTGGCCTCACCTGTCCTCAAGTGGAGGGGCTGAGAGCTGGAGAGGGAGACAATTGTCCCTTAGTCTAGCTTGTCTCCCACCAAGGCTTCAGGTAGGGGCAGAAAGTGCCTCTTTTAGTCTGACATGGCTCCTGTGGACTTCCGCAGGATTCCATGTTCTTGGTGGGCTCCTTAGGGATTTAGGCAGGGGACTGGGGAGGAAAGGGCTAGCTCCTTGCTCCTGACTTCACTTTCTCTTTCTCCTTTTTCCTGTTCTCGTAACCTAGCTGTCTCCCTCCCACCTCTCTCAGCCTCAGCTGACTCACTGCCTCACTCACACTACCAAATGAGATATTCCATTTCTTAAAGGTGTACAGACAGATACACACACAGACACACTGCCATACACCAGCACCACTACCTGGGGCAAAGTCACACAGAGACACAGAGGGGTTGTTACACCAAGCAGTGCCATAGAAGCAGACACCCTATCACACATGTACATATTCCCACAATGTTAGAGACACAAAGACAGAAGTCCTGTCACATGAAGAGGACACATTTTGTCATATAGATAGAGACACACAGTCTTGATGTCAGCCACAGATCCACACATTCAGTAGGAACAGACAGACGTGGTCCACTAGCAGAAGGAATAAAGAATATGGGTCTTTTATGGCCCTCAATTTGACCCCGCAGTCACAACTTTCCTTTTCTTCAATAATTACCAGAATGAATGAGAGACCACACCACAACTTCCCCATGAGGTTTTCCCCATGTTATAGTTGGCTTCAAGCTGTGTCTGATCCCGCACTAAATAATAATCACTTGTGTTGATGATTTTTACCAAGAAGTTTGGTGTAGGAGAAAGACACTGATCTCCAGGATTCAGGCCTCATCAACCTCTGCCACTCCTCAACTGCTATTCTCTAAGCTTTCACTTCGTTGATTGTAAAACTTGAATAATAATCCTTGCTCTGTCCACATCCTGAGTCTTTCATGTGAGAGAATGGAAAGAGGTAGCTGACAGTATTTTGAAATAATAACATAACACCTGACATTGGTGTCATGGCTAGGATTTTAACCTCTCTCCCATATATTATGGGACCACATCAGCCCAAGGAGACTGGTCATACTGGCATCATTATCCCCATTTTACAGATGAGGAAACTGAGGTGCAAGGGGATCAAGCAGTCTGCCCTAAGATCACTCAGCAAATGAGCAGGAGTCCCAGGCCTCCGACCCACAGGTTCTGGTGCTAAGTCCATGGTTTTTTTTGCTAGGGCCTCCCATCAAGTTCCCAGTGGCCAGGGCCCTCCCTTCTCTCCTTTGTCTCTTGCTCTCCCTCTCAAATGAACTCTGCTTGCTCTCTTGCTGCCTGCTGTGCCAGGAGACAGGCAGTGCCAGCTCCATAGTTTCCCTCCTGTCTTTCCCACCCCTCTTCAATGCTCTGTCCCTCAAGGAAGGCCTAGATCTAAGGGGCTCTCAATTCCAGCTGTACTATGGGCACTAAGGGAAGACATCCCTGCCCTCCTCTTTCCAGCAGCCCCCTCTCTTCATCCCATCATCCCACTTACATACCAGGCCTTCTCTGCCAATCCCTGATCCTACCCCCATACACTGAGCCTGCCTGTTCAGCTCCAACCACAAATGGGATCCCTTGGAGTGGATGAGGATCCTCAAAGCTTTTCCTGGATGGAGAGCCCACAGCCCCAGGCCAGGATGAGGGGGCTTCCTCTACTTCTGGAAAGCGTGGCTGGATCGGCTTCAGGGCCAGGTGACCCCCATCCTTGGGACCCTGTCCTGAGTGTCTCAGTCAGATCCTTCCTGAGCAGCCCCAGAAACCCTGTTCTCTCCCTCTGTGATGTCTGCCCCTGTTTTGGGCCACACAGGGCCCCAGGAAGCATACCTGTCCTCACTGCCGCTTGTGACACCTCCCAATTTAGTACCAATTGCAACATTTGCTTAATGTGCGACTGACTTCCTCTCGCACAGCTGGGTGCTGTTAACTTAGGCCATGCCCATCCCCACCCTGGCCTCTCCCAACCCCAAGGCCACACTCCACCCCATTATCTCCCTGTGTATACACCCCAAAACACTTTCCATCCCCTCCCCCCAGCCCTCATGGCCCTGTCTAGGATTACTGGACAACCACCTGATTCCCCATAGCTCTCCATCCTCCCAGCCCCACCATGTGCCTCCCTGGTTCAGATTGCCTCTTCCCTCACCTCTGCCCTCCCCCCTTCTAACTCAGGGCATTGCAACTGAGGGAAGTGGTAGAGATGGGAATAGATCCCTGGCCTATTCTCTCATAGCTCTGATCAAAGAGGAGCTAGAAGCCCAAGAGAAGGATAGGTTTCATCTCTTACCAGCCATTGGGTCACAACAGTAAAGGTTAGTGACAAGGAAGGATGTGATAGTTCTGCCCTATTCTGAACTCACCAAACCCACATGGAAGGTGGTGTGTTTGGTTCTGGGTCTCACACTGAGCAGGTCAGGAGGAGGCTGGTACCCGGGTTCTCCTGGACAGAGTTGAAGGAGCTGTTTCACCTGAAGAAGAGGCTTTGGTCTCTACTTTCTGACCTCAGAGGAGTTGTCACGGTGCATAAGAAGAGACATGTCATGCTTAGCCCCAGGGGACTTTGTAGTTACAAAGTCCTGGGTTTGAACCCAACTCTTTCATTTATTATCTATGTGACAAGCTACAGACTTTTCCCCCTCAAAGCCTCACTTTTCTCATCTGTAAAATGAACCTCAGCCCTGTGAGGCCATTATTAATGAGAAGTCTGCAAAGTACCTGGCTCTGGCCCAGCAGAGTTACTCAGTTAACAGTTGGGTTTTTTGTTTTCTTCCAAAGAGGTACTAGACTGCCTTAGGAGGAGGGAAGCTCCTGTTCCCAGTAACTGTCTGGCCTGATTCGGGCAGACCCCTGGAGGAAATGCTGTAGAGAAAACTCTAATTCCAGATGGGAAGAGTTGGACTAGGTGACCTCTGAGGTCTGTTTCAGCCCAGAGTTTAGGCCCCTGAGCAGAGCCTGCTCCCCAAACAGCAGCGCTAAATGGGAAGAGCTGGGAAAGGTGGCCTAACACCCACACAAGGGCAGGGGGGTGGTGGCTGCCAGAGCCAGTGCCTTACCTTCTGCCCATACCCATTGGGGCCCTGCTCTTTCTTCACGCTGGCTGGCAACTGTTTCTGCCTCGCTGCCTTCCTCTCTCCTCCCACCTGCCACAGCTTTCCTGCCAGGGCTAACACTGGGGCTGAGAGCAAGGAGCTCAGGGCACTGGGCAAAAGGCAGGAGCCCCAAGTTGGCCAGTGGTCCCTATTGTCATCCAAGCTCGCAGGCCCACAGTCAGCCTCCCTGACACAGGGTTGGTGCGGGCAGAGAAGGTGCTCTGGTCTCTTTTGGGGGGTGGAGGGAGTGGCAATCAAGAAGCTGCCTCCTGGGAATCAGGTCAAAGCCTCCTCTGGGGAGGGCCCACAGAAGCTCACTGCCCAATAATTTGAGCATGGAGTTTCCTAGAAGGGGCAGAGACAGAGAAGAGGCCACATTTCTAGCTCAAATGAGGATATAGTGGGTTAAACGTGGGCCGGAGAAGTGTCCTTACCTGGCCCACACCTCTCCAGGTCCCTAACCCATTTCCACTATTACCCCTCATATTCCTGCCAAATTGTTGCCCACATTCAACACCCTCCATCCACATACCACTGGATGGCACAGCCCCCCCCCCCAGTCTTCTAATCAAAGATCATCCTAGACCCTTTCAAAACCACAGTCCACACCTCACTATCTAGTCCATTACCTACAGCTCCACTCCAACCTCCACTCCTCCCAATAGTTGCCTCCACCACATCCCATTCTCCCTCCCCCTCCCCCTCACTCCCTGCCCTTCTTCTGTCTTAACAGTTGACCCATCTTGTCTCCCATCCATCTCCACTCCTTTCATCTCCCCTCTTCTTCACACCCCTCCCAACTTTTACCCCCAGTACTTACCCCCAACTCTCCTGGCACTGCACCTCTTGCCCTTGACACCTCCAT